GTTGGGGCACTTGGGGTGGGAAAGCCGCGCAGGAGCGGGGATGCCTCTGAAATCGGTGCAAAAAGAGCGCAGACCGGGGAAAAGTGAGAGTTTTCCAGCTGCGATCCTCGGATCTAAGTCTTTGCTTACATTGGGAAGCTCATGGGGCAGACGTGGGCGACCCCCTTTGGGGGTCCACGTCCAGAGGGGTGTAAAAAAAGTCGCTGTTGTGGCCCTTTAACCCCTAGCGAATTTGGGCTGGCACAAGCCGGCTGTCCCCACTCTGGTCCTCTCCAGATTTCCGTAATTCCCAGCCGGCGTAATATAGAAGACATGGGGTCAGGGCGGGCTAATAAGCTTTTCTGTATTAGAACCCATTTCATCAAATACCAAAAAAAAAAATGTTATCTTAGATTGGCAGGCAGGTACAGCCTTGCAGCATCCTCTGGGCATGTGTCAGTCCATCCATGTATCTCCGAGGTGGTGGGCTATGGGCAAAAGTATGTTGGCTTGCAAGGTAGTGTCTGGATTAGAGATCCTAGCTTGCATAGAAAAGCGTGTGCCTGCTTGGGATGAAACTAACTGTGGTTATGCTTGTGGCAGTACTATCTTAACCATTAGCAAGTAAAACAGCATGTAGCATGGGTGCAGCTGAGGTTGGTAACCGAGTCTGCTCCTTCGCTGTGTTACTATAAAGCTTAAATGAAAGCCTCGGTTGACCAAAGTGTGATGGGGGTCAGAATTCAGTCTTTCTGGGCCCTCTGGTGAAGACCATGGGATATGGAGGAACATTGTGACTTGGAATGTAAGTGGAGTAAATGGCAAAGAGTAGGAAATGAAGGAAAGAAAAAGGTGTGTTGTGTGTCCATGAAACTAAGAGGAAGAATGTAATTTGTCTGGATGAAAGTGGTGAATAATATAGGGGAGGGAAAGTATATGGTTGTTATGAATGAATTGGCTAAACTGCAGGTCAGACAATATGAATGGGTGTCATCTGTGTGGGTGACCTTGTCTGGGTTCAGAAGCTAAGCAGGATCAGTCCTGGTTAGTACACAGATGGGAGACCTCTGGGGAATCTCAGGGCTGTAGGCTAGATTGGAAGTGAAAGAATCATCCCAGAAGAAAGCAGTGGCAAATCTCTCCTGTTGCCAAGAAAAGCACATGGACCCCTCCATGAGGTCACCAGCGGTCAAGATATCAAGTCTCTGAAAGTAGAGAATCCATAGACTGGTGATAGTTGCATGTTTTGCTCCAATAAATGGTAAGAAAGAACCAGTTTTCCCAATTTGGGAAAGATTATGCCACATTCTGAAGAAACGTGATGGCGGGAATTATTAATTAGATGACAGGAATGGATGAATGAGAAAAATGATTGGATCATTTAGAGACTAAGGATGAGTGAGAATTGTAATTGGTAAATATCTGTTTTGAAAAATGTCAAATACATGGTTTAAGCATGTCTATTCATATGTGTACATGGCAATGAATAGATAAGCCTAAAGCGTGATTGATTTGATTGCTTATGATGGAAAGCTGAGAGAATCAGCGAAGGCTATGAGAATCAAGAGAGGTTTTGAATGTGGGACAGATCATTTTTAGATAGTGTCAGGAATGAATTTGAGGGAAAAGTGGACATGGAAGGAAAGGAAAGTAAGGAAATGAAAGAAAAATATTAAAAGCAGAATGATTACAGGAAGAGAAAATACAAAATATGTATGAAAATAGTGTTAGAAGATATATTAAACTCCCAGCAGAATAAATGGGATGTTGAAGTAGGGAACTAGGATGTGGAAGCTGCTTCGAACAGGGTGAAAATAATTAAGTAACAGAAGTATTTGGAGTTACGCTAATGGAAAAAGGACATTTAATGGAATGTTGAAGAGGTTATAGATGAGAAATAATGCATGTAAGAGATTGACTGCTACAAAAAAATGCAGAAGAAAGATATGTATAATTTGTAGGGAGAGAAAAAGATAGCTGCAAATAATGTTTTCAAAGAAGCAGAGAATAGTTGAGATTAAAAGAGGCAGAGAAATTCAGAGTGAATTTGTTGGAAATAAAAAGTTATTTTGGAAGTGGGTGAAGAGAGCTAAACAAAGGGCTTCTACTAGAGCAAATTGAATAAAAAATAAAAATGATAAAGGGGTTTGGGATGAAACTAGAGTGAGGGAATGCTGGAAGGAATATTTTGGAGATTTATATGGGAATAATAGTGGTATGTTGAAGAGCAGAATTGAAATAAATGTTATAAATATTAGCGTCCAAAATTTTCGCTGTCAGTCAGTCATAAAAGCTGGGAAAATGTTGAAAAATGATATGGCTGCAGAGATATTAAAACATGGACATGGTTTGCTAATGGAAGGGCTGCAACCTGTTCAGGCGTATGTGAAGACAGCATCAGTGCCTGATCATTGGAATAATACTGTTACTGTTCCCCTGTACAAGAGGAAAGATAATAAGAGTGAATGCAAAAACCACAGGAGGATTAGAAAGTGGTTGGCAGAATTCTGGTGGCAGTTCTGGCAGAATTGTAATAGCAATTCTGACAAGCAGTGACAATGAGCAAAATTTGGGAAGTGTGTCGCAACTGTGGCAGCGAATGGGTGGCAGATTAGATTTTTGCTTTTCAGCAAGTCATTGAGAAATGTGTGAGTATGAGAAAGAAAGTTTGTGTTATGTTTATTGATTTAGAGAAAGCATATGATAAAGTGAATTGGCTTGAATTATAGAATGTTTTGCATGAATATAGAATTGAAGGTTGGTTGCTGAGTGGGACCAGTGAATTAAGAGAGAGATGGGATGGAAGGAAATCATATGCGAGAATAAATGAAATGCTTAGCAAATGTTTCACTTCTGAGCAGGGAGTAAGTCAAGGATGTGATGTCCCTTTTTTGTTTAACATACTTATGGATAAATATGTAAAGAATGCTTGGTGATGGTAGAAGTGTGTAGATTTGGGATGTGAACATATATGTGTGGTGTGCTGTTGGCTGAGAATCCAAATGATTTGCAGTGAAGAGGGAAAATGGACCAAACTATTACAAATTATGAAAAATTAGAGCAAGTAGATGAATCTGGTAAAATGTTTACTAAAAATTGGAAAATGAATGGAGAAATGTTAAAATATGCAAATTCTGGTAGAAAAGTAGTGGGTACCTATTGGCTGTTGCAAGGAATGAATGTTTGTCACAAGAAGTGAAAATAGCTGTGTATAAAGCATGTTTTTGCCCACATTGTTATATGGAAGCACAAGGTGTATATATCAGGAGAAACAAAAACGTGAGTTGAATGCAGTGGGTGATGGGGTCCTTAAGGGATGTGTGATAAAGGAGAGGGGAATCAAGAATGAATGTGCATTGAATACAAAAGTGAGGGATCAATTCAGAAAAAGCATCTTGGGATGGTTTGGAGAATGAACGAGAATTGAATCGACTAACAAATGTAGGAAGAAAGAGAGAATGAGTCAAGAATGCAGGAAAGTCCAAGAAAGGCATAGTTAGATGGAGTTTCTGAGATCCTGAAAAAGAGAGAGGCGAGAAGTGTAAACCACAAAAGGTCTCTTTTGGACTTTCACTGTAAATTAATTAAATTCAGGTAGTCCTTGGATTATGACAGCAATTAGGACCCGGATTGCCGTTGTAAAGTGATGCGGTTGTAAAGTGTAACATCATGTGGCTGCATTGCTTAGCAATGGCAATTGCAGCAGTCCTGGTTGCCGTTGTAACCCCAAGACATACAGGTCCTCAAGTGGGAAGAGGCAGGAGTCCCGGGCTAGGAATGTGGGGATGGTGCAGGGGGATGGGGAGGCCGGGGGAGGCCTGGTGCATAATGTTGCTTACCCCCAAAGGGAATAGCATGATGCATATGTATTTATGTATATATGCATATATCTATACATGTACTGTAGGTTTGGGGGCATTACAGTTACAGCAGCGTTTCTCAACCTTGGGAACTTAAAGATGTGTGGACTACAACTCCCCCACACTTCCCCTCCCCCCCACCTGCCGTTTGGGATCTTTCGGTTTAAGACAACGCCATTCAAACGTATTCCGAAGTTTAAATATCATAACTGGAGGATG